TGAGGAATTTAAGCGTAGGTTATACCTTTAACTCTTTCGTCAACCATTTCTTTAATCTTAGTGACATAACTCTTTGCTGTATTTTAACTAATAATTTTCTTATAAGCCGACATGAAGGCTATTAATTTTTATATTTGTTGAATATTTGTAGGTCATTGCAATGATCCACCAGTCATAAAATCAAAATTAGAAGAAAAAAATGTGTACTATTGCTTGCGAGTACTACAGTACTACAGTATTATCTGCCATTAATTTGCTAATTTTGATTTTGATTGATTTTAGAAGAAAGCTGTCTGGACCACTGCATACTTTTGCTGCGTTTTATGATTACTCTAGACTGAAATCAGCGATTATGTTTTCTTTTTGTGCTAACAAGTTTATCTCTGAATTGTTGTGTTATTCGTAGTATCAAAAGGGGTCTTATCAAGTTAATTACTCGCTTATTATTTGGACACTACTTTCTGTTGAGACTCGTTATCGAATCCGAGCAAAAACTTTTTTAAATCATTTTAGTGCTGAACTATTGTCACGAGTACAGGATTTTTAATGTTTTTAAAAGTAATACCTTCCAAGCGAGCTGACCATTTAAATATCAGGAAAAAATGATCCTTTTGGAGCATTTAAAACAGCACAATTAGATGAAAATTACAGACTCGTTTTGGTTGACTCTGTACAGGGATAATGAAAAGTGCAACATCCAACAACCTAAATAACTACTGACAGAAGCGTCAGTATCTTTTCTATTTTCACATAGCAACTCCGTTACATTCACCACTTAGGAAGGTAGACCATCCATGGCGTCATCAATGTGTACACGTTAAAATGATTTTTTATATCTTAGCCTTAGAGTCAAGAAGACTCCGCCTGTGTGATTCTACCAAATATGAAAAGCATTTGACAATACATGTAAATAGAACTCTTGTGTTGAAGTTGTTTGTATGGCCAGTTCTCCTCTTATGTAATATTTAACATACCTCTCCATATGAATGTTCTGAAATCCAAGCAGTGATGTATAAAACATTATTTTCCTTTACTGACTGGAAAGAATAGTTACGTGCAGATCGTAAGAACTGGTCTAGACAAATTTATCCCTCTCAATTTTTAAACATTATAGCATCATGTTATTGCTTTTATGTCTGATACAATTTTATTGAGCTTCTTTGGATTTTCAGTCTAAAATAATTAATCACATAATTGTAACATCAGTAGAAAATCAAATGCAAACTATGTGTTATGCGTGTAAGAAACACGTTATGCTTTTAACACGACAACTGGTCTAGACAACATATAACCCTCTCTATTTGGAAATATTATGCATCAATTTATTGTGTTTCTTTATGTCTGATACAATTTAATTGAACTTCTTTGGATTGTATTAATAACATATTTGTTACTTTAGTAGAATAATAAGTATTTATCAAATTTATATCTATAAGTATTATTTATCATTTTAATTTTGTATACATTAAGAATATACTTATATATACTTATCTTAATCACAGTAATTTATTAAAAAATCTATTAAACTCGTACTGAATATATGTAATTTGAATGACAGAATGAATAAGCTATGCACGGAAAGCTGCAATAACTATGCGGGTCAAATAAAGTAGGTCCTTTCTTCAAAAACTGCCATTTTAGCTAGACTATACGAAGTATATGGAGAGCTGTCCTACTCGCCCCGGCGTCGGCGGTGGCAGCCGCGTCCAGATTTCAGATTAAAGGTGCAGTAAAATATTTTTCACTATTACTTTTTCATTTCTTAAGGTATCAACTTCAAACTTCAAATATATGTTCCTTATCATCAACCACATCTTATGTGACGAGGTTCATAACTCTAGCACCAATATTTTCATATTTATCTCCCCTTGAACTTAGAATTTTCCTTAAAAAATATTTATTTTTTACTTTTTAAGGTATCCACTTCAAACTTCAAATATATATTTCTTATCATTACACACATGTTGTGTGACAAGGTCCATAACTCTAGTGTGACTATTTCCAGAATTTTTCCCCTTTGAACTTGACACTTTATGTAAACAACAATAACTTCTTGTCATAAGAAGAAATATATTTATATCATAATTTACTTTTCTTTTATACTTTGGTAATCCTTAATGCGTCCAGTATTTTATTAGTCGAGCTTCGCTGTCTCGTGTGACAGCTCTTGTTTAATGATACAATGTATTCATATTGTGTCCACCTATAGTGTATTGCATTTTAAACACATCTACTTTTTGTTTAGTCAAAACATGTTTTTTTTCTATATTTACAAAGATAGAGTGTAGTAATTGTCCATATTTTCTAATATAGAATTTGAGCATAGTATATCTTTGTGTACATTTCTCTCTGCTATTTGGTTTGTTTGTGCATTAATGCGAAGATATTAATGTTAATAATTTCGACGTAATGTTTTTCCTTCATTGCTACCGATTCGAAGAATTAAAAATGATTCAATATCTGCTCTCAGCCTCATGATACGGCCTTAAATGAAGTGTTTATCTATAAAGATGTTTTGCGCTGCATAGGAAACTATTTGAAAAGCTAATTATAATTTATACATCATAAAATTATTGGGGTATTTCAATACATATTATATGTTTTATTCGATTTTATTTTGTTTTCAAGGCAAATGAATGGTCAGTTTTGCAGTTTGGTTATCAGTGTCTATGAAATATATATCCGAATGATACATTATTTCTCACTTATTCCGGGGGTCGCAATAAAAACCTAACTAAATACTGACAGCAAGAGCATCAAATAACATCTAGCATTACAAAACTGCGAAAACGTCTTCGATCAGCAGCTGAGATGCAGTTCAAGGCTAGAAGGCTGGTTTAATGAGGCTGTTTATGGAAGGCGATAGTAAATGCAAATTATAATCCCAAGCTAAACTACACTCATCAAGGAGGCCCAAACTCCACACCTCGGCAGGACTCAACGTTTAAATATAAAACGGCGTTTAATTAAGAAAAACCTTATGAATAATTTATCCTTTTTAATATGAAAACTTGCATCATATCCATCGTTTCAATTTAATAATACATTGAACACCATATTCCTTACTATCAAATATTTTCGTATGAGAGTTTCTTTTTAATGTTTTATATTGACATCGCAAACTTCATTGAACGCTGCTTTTCCTTGATCTTGTTTATCATATTTTAGATTTCATTTGTACATTACATAATGACATTATTATATTTGAATGTGGCTTCAAAATGATATGTCATGAACAGCTTTTTATGACAATATACATTAAAGATGTCACTCTTTGTGTCAAACTATCTTCAAACTAAGTACTTCAATATTCAATACATGTTTATACAATAAAGAAACCATTTATCTTAATTGTAATAACGTTCGGATAACAAGTCAAAGTAAAGAAAGAAAAGAAAAATTGAAAATGATTTACATTCAGCTCGAAATGATGTTATGATGAAACTTAACATAAATTTATAAGAAAACACAGGTATTATGTAAACGTTTATTGTACAAATCATTACAAAAATAACAAGTATTACAACAACAATTAGGCAGAAATATCAAGAATCCTTAAGTTTCCAATACTAATGCCAACTCTTGAGCTTTCAGTGACAACAAATGCGTATATATATACCGTTATATAAAATGGCTAAAACTAAAACTATTCATTTACTTTAGCTATATTAGTTTGGCACTTGTATTAAAGCTTTAATTTGTATTTTATCTTTAGTATTTATATTCGAATATGATGTAATATAAATAGTATAATTTGGATTTTAAACGTGCATTAATACGATGTAGTGTTGCCAACACAACATTTACATATATACAACATTGTTTACTAAATATAAGAAAAATAATATACACGAAACAATATAAACAAAACCTTTGTAGCTGAGGGATTGCCGTTAAGGATTGACGCATCGCAATTGCAGCCACCGTTTATCCCTACATGACAGTAGAAACGATTAAATGGGTTTAAAAAATGGAGCCTGTGCATCTCATAGCTCCAGCAAGAAAGGTGGTTTTCTTTAATTTGTTACAACCGAGGTTAGCCAAATCATTTTCGGAACCATAAGACCTACATTGTGTTGGTAAGACCAAACAGAAACAATGTAAAAATAAAGATAACATCTTCAATTTAATATATTTAGTCATTTTAAAGCTTAGTGTGCCCAAATATCAGCAAATCAACCGATAAAATTGTGTGCAACCAGTTAATGAAAATAAAGATTGTACAATGTTTTGCGTATCAAATATCTCAACCCAAGGTTATTCCAGTTTTTAAAGAATATATTTACTGTGATTTCATAATAGAGTTACTCCAGGATGACGAGTCATATAATATTTTTTTGAAGATTATGTAATCAATAATACATAAAATATCCAAGGTTTAATATTAAACTATATACGTGAAGTCTGTTCACAAAGGAGTGAGTGATGTAGAAGGAGAAGTTTTGATTTGTAGATAACAGTATGTGTTATCACAATAGTCTAATATTTGGGGTCCTCAAAGACCCATTCGTTCCAACGCAGAAATTGAAAAATAGCTTTGAAGTGTCATTACAAGTCTTTGTTATGACTGAACATCTGCATTTCATGAGAATACATAATAACAGGCATGTGTCTAAAGATAAGAAAAGTAATTGTTGTAACTAACCTCAATGATATTTGAATTATATATAAACTATGAACACATAATGAATACATTTGTAACTTCTGACGTAATCTATGTATGTAATGCTATAAATAAGAATGTTACTGACAGAATATAAAATCTTAGTTGAAAAATATAAAACCATTAACATTTCAAGAAAAGTGATCATATCACCGGTTGCATGATATCACAAACTGTTGAAAAAATGTAATATAATAAGGCAAACTTGTTGTAGCTATACATAATATACTTGTTATTTACAAGGTAAAAAAACAACTATTGAACATTCAACTGAACGATACAACACTTGGGTGACTAAACATGTCACATTCTGTAAAAGTTTGATCAAAGTCATTTTGATTTTCTTTTAAAACGACAATATATAAATGAGCTAGTATTTGACACTTTCCAACGCATGTAATTATTGTATTAAGTTGGACTGTTTTTCAATTTCACGATAAAGTGTATGAAATGAACACATTTGTAATGTACTTGGTTTGTATAACACAAAATGACTTATTTTATATACACTGATATAAAGCAAATTCTTTTGGTACAATCTAATCTACGTTTGTTTGAATCTGTTTATACATATTGAGGTAAAGATACAGTCTGTGTAGAATCACTTGAACATCCAGTGATTTTAACAACCTTTACCAGCCTGTGTACACTGTCACGGAAACGCCTATTCAATGACCAATACAACATTGGATTGAAAGCACTATGAGCATGTCCCAACCAGAGAACAAATGGTAACGCATTTGTCATCCGTACATTTTCGTAAAGGTCTGACAGAGTTGAAATAATGTTATACGGTAACCAGCAAATCATGAACACACAGATAAGAATAATAACCATACGGGCTGCTTTTTGGCGTGAAACGAGTCTTTGGGTGCTTCCATCCGAGCTTACGCGCTGGTGCCGCTCAATAGTGCAGAGAGCTTTCCCGACATTTCCGTAGCAAATTGAGATTGTAAATGCAGGGATTATGAAAACGACGAATAATAAAAACACGCCATATGCTTGTCTGTCTCTGTCGTGTGGCCATTCCTCGATACAGAACGGAAGTGGTCGTAGAAATGGCACATCCTTCAACATATCAATATCTCGGATATAGATAAGTGGCCCCATAAATACTGCGGCTGCAATCCACATAAACAACAGTAGGACACATGATTGGCATGCAGACGTCATCTTCTGAGCCGCAACAGGGTGTTGTAGTGAAATATAGCGGTCAACAGACATCGCTGTCATAGAATATATGCTGACGGCAACAGCAACACCTGCAAGAAATTGTAAGTTTGTATTATCTTAATAATGGCATCAAATATTGTCAACGCAATTATATTGTTAGAGAGAGAACATACACATTTTGGAAGAGCAAAATCAATATTTAGAAATATAATGACGTTTCTAATTGAAGCGTAAACGCAGAAATCAAAGCAAAAAGATTAAAACATTTACTTAATGACATTAGAAGTGCGATTAAGCTTTTCATTAAACACATTGTCAGCAAATATAGAAATCAACGTATTAATAGTTTTTTGAAATGCGCAGTTTGGGGTAAAATAGAGAAAATAAGAATCCCTAAAGAAAGTCAAACACAACATAATTGCAAATGTTCAGGCTCTGTTTGATTGAGCCTGTTCATGGACGGTACTGTAAAGTGCAAACTACCGTCCACGCCCCGTAGCACCGGCTTATGCAGAAATGGTAAAATTTTGAATTAAGAAACATCCGCAGATGTGTTCATATAGCGGTTGTCATGGCACATTCAAACCTTGTTTCAGAATTATATGACTTTTATAGTTATTACTTCATATAAACAAGTAACTCACATAAAGTTGCCTATTTAGAAATAACCATTAAATGTATAGGAATTAGTAACATAAGTTCTTCACTACCTATATAAACTAAATGAGAAGAAACAGAAGTTCAATGAAAACTGTACTAAAATTGTCTGCTTTGTTTATTTTAAACCCGTTTACGAGATATAGTCTATTCGACAACATTCATATTCCATAGCGGCGGGTTAGCAGAATCGAATGTTACAAACGAAAGGGATAAAATCAAATATGCGTGATAGAATTTTAAGCTGATCATCGTTAATGAAGTGGCGTTTATTTTCAAAGAAATATAAATACTTCATGAGCGTTCTTTAGGGGATTTCCTTCTCTTTATGTAATTGGTCTGATTAGCATGATATATTCTACATTTTGTTCATAATTTTATAGAAAAAAAGACATGCAAACCTTGAATAAATGCTGTAAATTTGCAAAGGAATCTTCCGTATACCCACAGTTTGTATACAAGAGTTCCTATAGATGTTGGTATACATAACACAGTCACCGCCAGGTCAGCAAGTGCTAAATTGACGAGAAAATAAAGATTCGCTTTTCTTGCCCTTTCTGCTGACACCGATACGATGATAAGTATGTTACCCACTAATCCGATTACAAACGTCGGTATATACAACGAAAGTAGTACGACAGTAGAAAACTTGTCAAATGTATACAGGTTCTTCTCAAATTCTGTCAGAATATCACTAGCGTCAGATAGATTAAAATGTGTTGTATTTTTGTGTTCCTCAAGAAACAACTTATAGTTGAGTAAGTCTGGAAGCTGATCCATCAGGATAACCTCCTCCTGTAAAGACAAATATCACATCAATGATTTGATCTACATACTATATTTAGATGCAACTATATTAACTCACAACAACATGACCTCAGGAAGCCTGATTGCACAAATTTTCAAGGCTGTCTAACTATATTAGTGCGATGGTTGTAATGTAATCAAATCACGCAAGACAATAATGAATTTATGCAAAATACTTGCGCATTATTAGGTTTAAAGAGAACATTGTAGTCATAATTACAAAAGTACTTCATATAAAATACTGAAGCATTTCCTTTTTGTTTTAATTATGCAAGCTGTATTACTTTCGTATGTTACTAAAATATAACTGAACCTACAAATCTGTCATAATATGTTTTTGCCTAAACCATGACATATTTAACTTATCATGGTATTATTGCTATACAGTTACTAAACTATGATCATTGATTATACCAATACTGCCATTATCTTTAATCGGGAGTGATGTTTCCTTCTTTAATTCTCGCATGAACTGGGTAGATCCCTAAGAAGCAGAAGTAACAACATAACATGAAAATTGAAGACTCGGTTTGCGGTCGGTTAACAAGGAACTGTGGAAAACGTTAAACATACGCGCCCTTAGCAGCACCGGTATTAACTCTGTGTGCCATTTCAAGAGCACTAACGTGACGAATATGATCAAACTTGTGTATAAGAAACATGATAATTGTGTTATCGTTTCCAACAAAACGATCGCTATGCTGAATGATTGCACTGTACACTATCAATCTATGCTAAAAATTAAAGTTAATGGATACATTCAAATGACGTATTGTTCTGCGAAGTTGTGTACACATTGTAATGCAGAGGTACTAAAATCAGATCATGTTTTGTTCGGAGCCTAATTTGAATAACAGGTATAACAGGTAAAATTGCATAAGATGTTATAAACCTTATTGCAGTGTCAATGTCCAGTTAAAACTACTTTGTAAGGGTTTCAAAGCATATAATTTGTAAATACATAAAGAACCATTATAATTATTACTTGCGTGCAAACTTTCAGATTACTCGCTTCTTTTTTCAGAATTATTATCTTTAATTTTGAACAAGTATCAAAGCTTGAGAATTGAAATCGGGCTGAGAATAGCACAAAAATACTATTTATTTTTGAGTATGTGTTTTGTTATCTTATGTATACTGAACCAAAAAAGAAACTTTCGCAAAAGTATGTGCCAGTTGTTCAAGGGTACCACTTAGATGAACACACTTATATACATGTAGTAGCTTGTAAAACTCGTTTTGTTTGCAAAATCGGTCAGCTAATACCCGTATAAAAGCCCGATATGTTTATTCAACGTAAAAATCGTGTTTCAAAAGGATTGAAAAACTGTACTAACATAACTTCATTCAAACTTGGAGAAAGTTTCTTTTTAGTTTCAGTATATATATTCCTTGTCTTATTGTCCCAGTTTGTCAAGGTGAGAAAAATCCAGATTTAATTTGAACACCTGTCAGTTATGTTGTATAAAGTATTTACATTATAGTTGACCACATTATAAATTGGAATTAAATTATAACAACGAATTTTCCTGCGGCATTAGCCAACGTAAATTAACCGATACAACTTCAATGTGTTGGCCAGGGTCTTACTTAATATTATGTGAGATTTTCCAATAATACGAGGATATGTTGGCACTAATGTCAAAATATTTATTTCCTGGAATTCTCTAGAGAAGATTTTTTTTCTGTTCACAGAAAAGACATAGTATACCCTTTACAACCAAACAAATAATAATTATATTACACCAGGTAAATCTTTTTAAAGGCTCGTTATGCCTCAGAAATGCTTTTACTTTTATTTTTAAAATCTTTTTATTTTTGATGTCCGGTTATATTTTTCAAAACGTTACTCATTGGCCTATTACCCGAGGCATCTTTTTGTACCGTTGCATTTTGGCAATAAGTACATTCATAGTGATTAAGTATTGTATTCTGTATGAATATCAAAATACTATTTTGTTTACATTTTACTACTTTGTGACCAATAATTTCACATTCAGCACTACTTTTTTCGGTTGATATGCATCTAACCATTACCTTATGATTATAAAACTCAGATATGCCCTTTTTGCAATAGAAAATACATTTTCGTTTTTGAGGCAAAGTGTGCCTTTATAAAAGATTACTTATGACAAAAACTTTACCGAAACTTGATGGTTACAACGAGATCCATTATCATTCATCTGTATTTAAACAGGAAGTAATCACAGGAACTTGAAATTCTATCAATATTAACGATAATATGCAAAATATACCCCACTATTATATAAAAAAAAATTATAGTATATAGGGGGTATATTTGGATATTATTATTAATATTGGTTATTTGATAGAATTTCAAGTTCCTGTGAAGTAATGTAACATCAACAAATATTTAAATGTTGTATGTTTTTATTGGTTAATAATGTACTACTAACTTTAAAACGCAGAAATAAAGCGCATCAATGTGTGAATGATGACACCGCAGAAATAAGATACGCAGAAATTTAAAACCCCTTATTTTAACAAAAATCGCAGAATATTACTGTATTAAGCCCGCAGAAATAAGTACTTATACGGTATACTGAAACTAAATAGAATCATAAGAGGCAAACAGCATTAATATTGAGAGAAGACTTCAGGTTTTAGAATTGAACATCAATAAGTATTCATTTACCCTTCATGAGGTCGAGGTATTTCAACAATAAAATAACTCAGCTTCGCATTTTTTATAATGAAATTGCATTTTTATTTCTGTTTATTTATTAGTTTGCTTTCTAAAAATATCTATCTAAGTTACGAGTCTGACGGAAACTGGCCTTATAGTATTTCTATGATAGTACCCTTTGTACTTTCCTAAAATAGATTCTCTTGCTTTATCAAATTGCTGGAAACTTATGGCGTGACTGTATTACAGTCATACACTGAAAGATTCTTGAAAGAAAACATATTATTACGATTTCACTCTTGTCCAGACAAATTTAGGTTTTTGGGTCATTATCAAAATAACTACAGTACCCATCCCAAATGCTTAATGTTTTTACTGATTTTATACTTCTATTTCAAAGTTCCCATAATGATTATGTTTTTTTTATTAAATAACAAAAAAGAAACGAAACGAAGGAATATTTACCAATACAAAATACCACAACAATTTTATATAAAGGTTCTTCCGCTACAAACTTCTTTCAGAAGTAAATTTTAAACAAGATGCGGACACGGCAAAACAACGTTGCAAATTCTAACAATTGTTCATAACAATCAAGTTTTACTGTTGTTCAAGTTTGCCTGTTGTGTTTGACCTTTATAAAATTGTAGGCAAAGTAAATTTATTTAGTGATTCATCAATAAGACGCCGTATATCTGTCACATGAGCCTATCTGTTACCAATAGGTTACTGAAAGTGTGCTTCATTTCGCGTTTAGCTTCGATCAATGTTCAAAATCATTTAAAACTAATGCAAAATCAAATTAAAATATACAAATATGAGTAAAAATTGCTTAATTCTTGATAGATATTTTTGTGTAAAGAAATGCACATATACTTTATATCAATGAATTTAAGGTTAGACATCGTCAAATTATGACCAATTTTCTTTTCAATAAAGCCACACAATTAAATTAACTATGCATTGAAAATTCTAATAATGAATTATAAAATAGCACATATAGAAGATTGAACTTACCATCACAACTTGATGTATGTTCAAAATAAGATGAAACACATGAGAGTTATTAGTTTAGTTTCCATAAATGCAACGGAATGATTATTCTTTTAAGTATATAACAAACACTCGCTTTTAAAGAATCTCCTTTCAGTCTGATACAAGAGAAACGAGCGAGTTTTCCAATAATGTCCTCACTCTGACATTGTCCTATACTTCATCAGAGTGACGTAAGGGCTAACTTGTAAATATTGACAAAATATCCCTGATACTTACCTTTCACATTTAAACAATAAGTTTACTGGATACAGAGAGAGCTACTGACTGTGATAACTTATTCCTTTCAGTAACGTACTCGACCATGGCATTATGTAGGGATGTGTACCAGAATATCTCCTACTCTAGCAAAGAAGAAATCGCTTATATCGCACAAAAATAGTTCCAATTTGACAAGATGCCGTGATAGGGAATCACAAAATCCGAATATCAAATATGTACTTGCTAATAGCAAATCATAATAAAAACAATACATTAATAGGAAAGATTTTTTGAGTTACAAATTGACATTCTTTTTATTTTCAGTCTAGAAGATATAAAATCTATAAACTGTAAAATATCATTACCGACATCTTGCAGTTTGGTCGTATTTGCATAACATTATGGAACAAATTAAGCCAAATAACCTTATGTCTGTGTCGTTTTGTTACCATAATGAATAAATCATTCCTTTTCAGATTTTCGTCTACAACATTACAGAGTATTATGTGATTAGCCATACAGTAGAATTTAAACATTTGACTAACGTTTCACATGTTCATCGTGGTCAATGAAGACAGGACAAATACCTCAATATATCGGACTGATTTGTATGTACCAAAAAGAAAAAAGATATAAAATGTTGGTAAAGGTATTAAATTAAAGCCTTACGGCTGTTTGAAAATGTCCGATAAAGAGCAAAATCATCCTCAAACCTAATAAAAAGGAGAACAATATTTTATAAAGCAACATTTATTTCTGCTTTCTTGCACAAACCAGTCAATCACTTTTTGCATAAACACAACACGATAGTTACGTTTTTGACATTTTTATGTAAGCATAGATCTATTTAAGAATTTTAAGTAACTAATTATATCAAAAAGACATTGAACTATTGTAGTTGGCTTGATGTTTGCAGTTCATGTATCCAGCGTTTTGAATATGAGTAATCGGTACCAAGAATGTATTAATAAACTCTTAACCGATTTTAGACTGCAATTACTTAAAAAAGAACAGAGAAGAACAAAAAAATCGTTTAACTTGGAAAAGACTATACATTTTTATCAATTTATAAAACTGGCCG